GACACATTTTCCCCCTTTTAATTATGTTTTCTACTTTACTCTTTATCTAAAATGGTACACACACACATTGTACAAAGATAAGCATCATACAGAAAAACATCGCAAACATAAAGATATATGTGGTTCGGATTTCGAATGAAGACCTACTACGTCCATGGTAAGTTAATAACTTTTCTTTATTTAAATTTAAATTATAAATATAAGAGGAAACAAGAAAAAAAATGTAACTAATAATTAAAATTTCGGGTCGAGTTGAGACGGGTTAAGATAGGTCGTGCATATTCTCTAGTATCGGGTCTAGAGCTGGACCTAGCCCAGCCCGTGACCCGCGTATATCACGAGTCCGGTCGGGTCATGCCGGACCCACTACGAGGTCGGCTAGGTTGTGACCCATGATGGGTTGGGCCAGATCAGCCTGCGGGTCGACCCGACCTACGTCCAATCTAGCTATTAATATAAAGAAAGTTTTGTTTTTGTTAGGAGAGGATAATATTATAATTGACAATTAATAATAAATAAACAATAGATTGCAGCATCTTGTCAATGTGTATCGTTTTACTATTACAATTCAAAAGTTTAGGGTTTCAGATGATAAGTAAAGGGGGGAAACCACATTACTTTTACAATTCAAAAGTTTTAGGGGTTATATATATCACTACTAATTATAAATGTCATGATATAAAGATATAACTAAAGGGGAAAAATCACCTTAATTAAAAGTCCAATCTCTCACTTCGAAGCACTTTGTAGATAAAATCCATGCCCTTAAAAGTAACAGAACCGCCTCTATCCTTGGAAATGTATAAATTAAATAACAATGATTGTAATTACTTCTTAAAGACACAATGCTTAAAGGGGAGGAGGAAAGAAGCTAGGAAAAGCATGAATTTGCATCAGTAACAAAAACCGACTTGGGAATCAAAATTACAATAAAGCTTTTAAAAATTTCTTTACTTTTCACTCATTCAGATGAATTTGCATCAGTTACCTTTCTCTAAAATACCTCAGAGTCGACATACAGCATCCTCAATCTGTATACAGCTATATTATGCTTCTTAATGATTTCTCCTCCTCATTTACACAAACAAGTCTCTAATTGCCATTGCCTGATCTTTCCATTTACAGAATTTAATAGGAGAACCAAAAGAAAAGAAGAAACTCTGCTCCTTCATCTTATAGAAATATGTACATAGCAGCTTGTGATTGCCGAAGAGTAAAGAATGAAAGAATGTACAGGTTAACTTGATATAATGTCATGTTCATCGGTCAATAGCGACCTCCTCAAACTTTCTGCTTCTTCGTCTATGCAGGTGTTCCAATTGTAAACTGTGCCTGCTAATGAACAAATTATCAGACCTCCTGTAGCAAATTATTGAAAAACATAGATATGAGAAAGTAATCTAATAACTGACCTATCCATTGATCTTCTACTTTCTTCCAGCTGTCAAAAACAGTGAAAATGATACATTAGTACCAAATGAAACCACGAGGAGAAAATGAATACTAGATGCAATTACCAATCCCGGTTAAACAAAAGGATCAAAATTAAATGAACATAATGAAGCTCAAACTCCCTGAAACTAACATAATGAAGCTCAAACTCCCTGAAACTATGTAAAATGTAAAATGTCTGAATTAACAAATACTCGGGGGAGTCTGTTCAAATGAAAACAACAATCGCGAAATCATGGAAGATATGTATTATCTGTTAACTGGATAAAGCAATGATTTTTTAATTGGAGAAATGTAAAAGTTTGTGAGAGTGCTGATATATACCCACCACAACAATTAACAATGGATAAAATGAACACTTTCGGGAAACTAACAAGAGTTTGAACTGTAATTTGAGAATCTATTGACTGTCCTTTCTCCCAAAAAAATGGCTAAGGACCTGCTATAACTTACAGGATTCTCTCTCTGTCCCTGCAAGCCATGTCGAGAATCTGAACTGCGTGCAACACAAGACAAGCGAAGGAGAAGCTTCTGAATATGATTGTAGATGCTGCATCAAACCAACAGAAGAAAACAACAAAGACTTGGTTACAACAAGTTATCTAAACATTTCACAAAATGTTACTATAAAAACCCAATTTGATATCGCACATAATTTTCTCATCATTAAGCATCAATTAATATCAAGATCAAAGCAGCACAAAGTCATGAAAGACTAGGACATACGAACTCATAATGATATAAACTTAACCACTATACAGAAGACCGACATAGGGAATAATAAATATAATTTAATTGGCAAAACCCCTAATACATTCACAAAATAACTAAGTCTTGCTCACTCATTCAAAATGTTTAACATGGAACTCATATTCAACTACTAAGGATACGAGATATGGACGCGATTTCCACTGAATCTAGATGTAGAAATTTTAGGTTACCAGGACACCTCATCTTGGCTCCCGTATCTGTGTCCGTGTTCGGGTTCGTGTCCGTGTTGGATGCTCCTTGGACACTTCTTGAGTATGTGCATATATTTATGCATACATGTGCCCCATTATACAATACATGTTTTTAGTTTAAAACACTTGTGGTACACTTCTTGGATGTATATCTTACACTTCACATTAAATTTCAGCAACTTGTTGGACTCGGATCGGGTTCATTTCAGCCCATATCATGTTCATAAGCATGATTTTAAATGATGATTTACATATCTAGTCCAAAAGTGAACAATTTTTAAATTCATAATCTACCCAATAAAAGAAACATAAATAAGTTATATGGACTTTAGTTCTCATAATATGTAATTAAAAAGACAATATTGACCTTATATATACTAATAATTTCAATAATTATATGTATAGATGTGTCCTCATATCCTACATTTTACAAATTTGCCATGTCCCGTATCCGCACTCATGCCTACACCCGCACCCGTACCCATGCAACAAAGTAGAAAATACAGGATATATTTACTTTGTGAGTATGCTAATAATGGATCCGAAGAGCATAATAGTTACGATAACACAAGTTCATGTAATACAAAATACTTTAGTTTATGGTGAAGGCATCATCCAAATTATACATGAAATATTTTTCACGTAATCTTTTGATATTATATAATTATAATCTTTGTTAAGCAAGCAAACAAAATTTCATAAATCATAAATGAATCTAAAATCAAATGGAATTTTAAAGCCATCATATGTATCACATTTTAACTTCTTAACACTAGGATATGTTGTAATTTTGACATGTCAAAAGAGCATCTAACTAGCATCCATCTAGCAGCAAATATTTATTTAGATATGAGCAGCTCATAGAAGTATCTTGGAAAACATTGAAATGGGACCACTGGCAGTAAACTAGACCATACAACTAGAATACTCATTATTTGTTTTAAAAAAAGGTGAAAAAAAAAAGAAGCATGAAGACCATTTTAAACAATATCCAGAAAAGGAAAAAATATGCTTATAGAAGCTAAAAGGCACAGGAAGTGCAAACCCGAAAACCTACAAAATAGGAGAACTACACTCAGGAAGGATCATACCTCAGACGATGCCGATTGCAGGTTGTAAAAAAGGCAACAAAACCATAAAGAATACTTCGAACTGCACGAAAAACCTGGAGAAGGAAAAAGCATAATATATTATATATAAAGACAAGTAATCTATTGTGCATAATTCTCAAAATCTACAAACCTGAGAGAAAAGATCATTCCAGAGCGATCTCCACATGGAAGTTTCATAAGAACCCACTGATGCTTTAGATGCAGATGCGAATTGGAAGAGAGTGCTTATAGATGACCAGCTTTCCTTTAAAAAGTAATAAGCATCGGACAAAAACATAGTGATGAAGCCTGCCATTGCAAGACACAGGCGCACTGGAGCTATAATAATTTCCCAAAATACTGAAAATATAGGATATACAACCCAGGCCGCTGCAAAGTAAAATATAAAATCGTGTCATAACAAACAAAATTGCAGTAATAGTAGGTGGGAAACTGAAGATAAGAGATTGTCTAATCATACCAATGGTCCAAACAACACTTAATGCAAACCACAGAGGCCACACTACAATCTGTAGAACTCCCGCAATTATGTTATAGGAAGATCCCAATACAATATATATGACAGAACATATTCCCTCTATTGTTTCAAGGCATATGTTCCATAAGGGAAGAATGAACTCGACGATCTCCATGACAGGCCCAGCAATTGGCATCATCAAAAATGAAAAGAATGATTTAGTAGCATGTGTTATCATAAGTAGCCATTTCACAGCTATCTCGAAGTTATGCAAAAAAAGCATGGTTCCTAAATACTTAATCCGTGATACCATTTCCCATGTTTCTATCCAATCAAAAAAGGGCCCAAACAGGTGTGATGCAGTTGCCTTTATTAGCGGAACATTCTTATAAAGGTCATAAAATCCTATAAGCACAGTGATCACTGACATCAATACATATAAAGCTCTTGCTAGAGGACACATCCACGGACGATATATTTGGCAGAATATTGGATAAGATTGAAGAAAAATGACCCAAGAAGGCAGCCCATATTCCAATAAAGTAAGCAGCTTGAGATCAGACATAATTATTTTCTTGAACTTGAATGGAAGATAAGGATCGTTAAACCTAAAACAAATCAGGACATCCTTGTAATTGGTAGCCGCCTCAGAAAATCTTGTATTTACATTCTCATAGTCATGGTTGTCAGAGGAAGATGAAGATACTGAAAGCGTTGGCGAGCTCACTGTCTCAGTGCATGCTTCCTCTGAAACTTTATTTACTTCACCACTAGCTTTCATTATCTTTCTTCTCTTGTATGGACCAGAAACTGGAGGTGTATGTTCCCCAGGGAAGTCGGCGGAGTTGCTAGAACCATCATAGGATCTATCATCATGAGAAGCATCATCATCACTCCCACCCTCACAGGCCCCACTAGGCATACCTAATGAAAAATCCTCCTGAGCGTCATAAAATACATCCCCTGTAGATAAAATAAAGTTACAAGGAAGAAATTCATAGAATATACAAAGACAAAGAATGCACAGTTACCTCTGTTCGAGATACCATCCAGATACTCCTGTAAGATAATACACTCATTGTAGGTTCCTGAGAACCATAAGAACATGAGGCTTGAAGCTTGTTCAACGCTATCGAACTCCCATCTTTTCATTGACTTAGCCTCCAACGCCATTGATGTATCAGTCTTTAAGTAAAATTTGATGTTGCACATTCAAATGTAATTAATCTTACAAGAGATTTCAATCAACTTCAGTAGCAGGTGACAAATCAAATTAACAAGACTACCGGTACCTGGAGTTCATTAAGATAATTAATGCCTCGCACGTCAGTCCATGCAACCTCAAAGACAATAAAGCCAAACAAGATACGGTGCAATTCTTTGTTCAACAGAAAAGAATCTTTCAGCTTCTTCACTGGAAGAAGAGCCTTTTTTTGGGATACTGCAGCATCAACCAATGAGAACCATCTACTAAAGCTCTTTAGCCTGACAGGCTTGGATCTGGAACTGTTCATGTAATTGAGCTTTTTCCCAATATCCTTCTTATCTCTCCTAGACTTGGTCCTAGTGATTGCAAAAGGTGACAGCCTCGACTGAAAGAAAAAAATAGAGAAACTCTTCAGCTAAATAAGATAAAATTTTGACTTATTATAGCTCAAATTGTCAGATGGTATAACTTTTTGGGTCCGGCATAACCTTGGTAACCATTAGCTGCCATAGGTGAGCAGAGCGTGCATCTTGGCTAACTAACCATGGCCGGTTGTCAACCAAAATATAGAACCTCTTACTTTCAGGGGGCAAAAAGAGAGTCAAACGCGAAAGATATGACTGCATATCTCTGTTAAGAGCATATAAGAGAAGTTTAGTCAGCCATTCTCCATCGGTACTTGGACAAGTAATTTTAGCGAGAACTCATCAAAATGAACCTTCTGCATTTCCATTTAAATAAAAGAAACAAAAAAAGATTTGATAAAGACCAACCATGCTAGTAGTTTTTTTTTTTTTTTTTTTTTTGAATTAGCATGCTGAATTTTGTTAGGAAGATGATGTCAAGGGTTTCTATCTTGTGTAATTGATGAGTTTGGAAAGGAAACAAAATTACAGGTTGAAAGCTCTGTATCAGGCGGCCCTGACGAAATAAAAGCAACAAATCTAGTTGGTCTCCATGGAAAGCTCCAGTATTATTTGTTATGAAGGAGAGTAGTATGAGGCCGTGGATGGATTACCGAAAGAATGCGGAGAAACAAACATCACTTGCCTCACATAGATGTGATCATCTTCAAGGTACTAAGGTGTTCTTAGAAAATGATTTGAGGTTTGGATACCCTCGGTTAGTTAAGAGTTACGGCAGGAATATCCCTAAGTCTATCAATAGGTCCAGATATGAACATTAGGATTTTCAATAATGCCTTTAAGATGGACAGGCTCCTTGAAGCTTTCATGGATTGAGTAAACTGAGTTCTTTAACCTATTTTGGATAAGCTTGATGTCATATATCGTGATGGTTTCTTGATTTATTCAAAGAGTCAAGAACACGAGGAACTTCTTTGAATTTTCTCACAATCCTTAGAAGAAAATAAGTGAATTTTTGTTGGTCCGAGTCATATTATTGAGTCATCTAATTCAAGAAAAGGTAGATCAGTTTGATTTGGTAAGAAAATAAAGGTAAATTATTTATATAAGAAAATGAAGGTACACAAATTGGTTGTGACCAGTGATCTTGGTGTTAGAAGATGTGTCACAGCCACTTATACTCCCAAGTAAGCAACTTTCAGGGACGAAACTTCTTACTAGAGTGGTGGAACGTAATACCCAAGAATTACACCATAAAACTTCTCATATTATTGTACAGATATCATCACAATAATGTAAGATGTGGATTATGAAATCATAATGAAAAATTACAAATCATGAAAGTGGGAGTGTAATATTGAAAAGGATGCATCGTATGAATCTATATATGCGGTTAGGTTAAGGAATTAAATTTGATTAGGATAATTAACCCTCTCTTAACTAACTTAAAAGTTAAACCTAAACAAACCACTTCATGCTATGTGGTGGAGAGATGAGAATGCTTAGATAGCCACCCCATGTTTTGGATAAACGAGGGAAGAAGAAGAATCTATTTGCAAACCACTTCATGTTTTGGATAAGATGAGAATGCTTAGCTCAGCCTCAAGCACTCCCAACACATTTCGTGCGTGTACAACATGAAGTAGGGAAGAAACTTAAAAGTCCATGAAGTAATATCCTACAAGCAAGTATTTTCTAGAAAAATCTGCAAACAAGTCTCACTATTTCCAATAAAAACCCGTGGATGGTAGCAATTTTGTGTGGGCGGGCCACCTTTAGATTTACATGTCACCAGAAATAAACACCACCAAGCAAAAAATCTCCAGCTTCAGTATCACTTTCCAAAATTGCAAGCAATTTCATGTATCACTACTAAAGAATATTTACTCTGCCTTAACTAATGCAAACACGCAAGAATTTTCAAATGGCCCCAGCACTTCAAATCACAACTGCATACAATTATTAAATTGTTGGGGGTGGGAAAAAGGCCACCTTTAGATTTACACGCTGCTTTATACTGTTCCTAACTCAAATATGGCATGAGATGAAACCTATAAAAAAAAAATTTTGATTTTGCTTTTTGCGAGATCCCAAAGACTTGAAAAGTAATCCAACCAAGAAAGAACATCAGCATCCCACATTCATCAAGAAATAACTCAAAAGCAAGCAAAACCCTAAAATTACTCACCCGATTTGCAAACTCGTGAGGGGGAAGAAATGCCCATTCTCCCCCGTCGCCATCGCCGCCTCTCTACAAGAAATTTTCAAGAAAATTCCTAAAATAAACCCAAAAAAAATGGGGAAAAAAACCCTAAAATCAAAGAAAAGGGGGGGCCGAGGGAAAACCTGGGACTGGGTCAAGCGAAAAACCCCATGAGAACGAGAGCTGAAGGTGAGAAGGCTCCAACTTTACCATTAATTAACGTATAAAAATATTAGTTTTCTTCGTTGTTAAGGCTGCTGGTTGATGCCCTGCTCGCCCCCCACGCGTCTCGAGAGGAGGAAAGCTCATTGAATTTGCATTGAATTGTTGATTTGAATTGTTGATTAAAATTGAATCTTGATTGATTTGATTTTAACCCTAAAAATCCGCGAGGAGTAAAGTTTGGTTTTTAATGAACAGGACACGCGGGAGTTTGGAGATTTATTGGGAGGAAAAGAGAGAGGAGACGGATAAGAGGAGTAAATGGGTTGGGTGTTCCCTTGTTTTCGGGTTGGGCTTCGGCCCAATACGACGTAGATGGATAAGATCAGCTGTTCTGCCTCTGGCGACAGACAGCAAAACGCGTGCGCGAGAAAGGCAAGAGACGGATGGAAGAAACTAATAGGATATAGTTACGTTTGCGAAGTATCCGAATCCGTATCTGAAATATCTGGGTATACGTAGATCATGTAGCCACGGTTATTTTAATCCTTGGATTAATAAATTTAAGATTAATTTTGATTACCAAGAGATCCGATTTTAGCTTCTTAAACAGAACAAACATGTTAATGAACTCTCTTATATCATGCATATGAAGTATTTTTTTAATATTATTTTGTTTTTCCAATTGCATTTTGTATCCGCGTGTATATCCATCTGATTTTTAGCGAATATGAACATGAGCTTTCATTATCAAGACGTACTCGTATCCGTAATTGATAAGCGGATATGGTTATGACGAAGTATCATATCAAAGCCAGTAATTTATCTTTTTAAAAAGCACCAATGAGAATGTTAAGTGCTTCTAAAATAGTTGACAAACAGTAACTATTACATAAGGTATATCTTAAATTGCAATTTGTAAGATGGTCTAATTAATATATGTCGACTCAACAACACGTCAGCCGCCATCGTGCTCAGTAAAATTTGACTTCATGGTGGGGTCACTGCGACGATAAGGAAAACATTTTGTTCGGCTGTACGGTGTATGGAGCATTGCAGCCGAAAAGGTTGGAAGGACAGCCGTTTTATTGAGGCGCCTAGTGGGTCAGAGGAGGTGTGGGGGGACTGTGACCTGCTTCCGCGTCTGGACACGTCTGTTTCGTCTGTACGTGTAACGGCCCGGCCCACTTTAATCGATACGGATATCCGTTTGTTGAATAAAAAGTGAATAGAAAAGGTCAATGTACTGAGGTCACGTGCCCTGCGGGCCGCTGTGTCTGGAATATTGCAGGATCAGAAGGGAATTATTTGCGTTGTCCATGTGGCTACATGCAAGTGCCCCCAGCTTCCTTACAAGTATTTCGTCCCTTTAAGACTTTTTCAACGCTCCCAGGACCCCCAAAAACAATGTCATAATTCCCTAAGCCCCCAAAACACAAAACCCAAGAGTTTAAAACATGTAAAGACCATAATATCATTTCTCTCTCTCTCTCTCTCTTCATGATATCACTGTGATTATTTGAAATGGATTTTTTTTTTTTTTTGGGGGGGGGGGGGGCTTCTAGGTTGTTCCTTCACAAATTTCCAACAGCGTCGAATCGGGCTGGTGAAACTTAACCGTGCCGTTCGGTAAATCAGGCGGCGAGAAAAACTTGATTTTGAAGACGGTGATGACGAGTTGCGCGCCAACCCCCTTATGTTTACATATTGTTGTAAATTTCTTTAAAAATCGATGACTTGAGATTAAAGTAGAGTATGTAAATTTATATATTGTTGTTATTTCATTGTAATAAGTTTGTTGTTCAGCTTATGAGTTGGTGGTGAAGGAATGTTACGTGTTGGTTTTAAAGGTTGCGAGTTGGTTGTGGAGTTTACGAGTTAGTCGCCAAGGGAACGTGTTGGTTGTGAAAGTTACAAGTTTGTTATAAAAAGATTGCAAGTTGGATGTGAAAGGTTACGAGTTGATTGTGAGGTTACGCGTTGGTTGTCAAGGTTACGTGTTGGTTGTCAAGGATACACATTGGTTGTGAACGTTACGCATTGGTTGTAAAGGTTACGAGTTAGTTGTGAAGGTTATGGGTTTGTTGTGAATGTTTCGAGTTGTGAAGGTTACGAGTTGGTTGTGAACCTCGGGAATGAGTTGATTGTGATTGTTATTAACTAACACTCACAACCAACTCGTATCCTTGACAACTATTGCGTAGCCTTCACAACCAACGCGTAACCTTCACAATCAACTCGTAACCTTGACAACCAATGCGTAACCTTCACAACCAACGCGTAACCTTCACAATCAACTCGTAACCTTGACAACAAACGCGTAACCTTCACAACCAACGCTTAATCTTGACAACTAACGCGTAACCTTCACAACTAACGCGTAACTTTTACACCAAACTCGTAACCTTTTCATAACTAACTCGTAACATTCACAACCATCACGTATTCTTGCTAACTAACTCGTAAACTTCACAACCAACTTGTAACCTTCAAAACCAACACATAACCTTCCTTCATAACTAACTCATAACCGTCAAAACCAACTCATAACCTTCACAAGCAACTCGTAACCGTCACAACCAACTTATAACCTTCATAATCGACGCGTAACCTTCGCAATCGACGCGTAACCTTCACAACCAACTCGTAACCTTAACAACCAATGCGAAACCTTCACAACCAACTCGTAACATTCACACCCAACTAGTAACCTGTTCACAAGCAACTCGTAACCTTCACAACCAACACGTACCATTGGTAACTAACTCGTAAACTTCATAACGAACTCGTAACATTCAAAACCAACACGTAACCTTCACAATCAACTTCACCACCAAGTCATAAGCTTAACAACAAACTTATTATAGTGAAATAACAACAATATATAAATTTACATACTCTATTTTAATCTCAAGTCATCGATTTAAAAAAAATTACAACAATATGTAAACTTAAGGGGGTTGGCGACGCAACTCGTCATCACCGTCTTCCAGTTCGTAATTTTCTTCGCCGCCGATGATGAACCGCTGGGAAAACTTTGATCACCCAAAGATGTCGACGCCGTGGAAAAAATTTAGGAGGGGGGAACTAGAATCCCCCTACCCCAACCCCCCCCCCAAAATAAAAAAAACCAATTTTAAATCATCACAATAATATCATGAAGAGAGAGAGAGAGAGAGAGAGAGAGAGAGAGAGAGAGAGAGAGAGAGAGAGTATTATGATCTTTACATGTTTTAAACTCTTGGGTTTTGTGTTTTGAGGGCTCAAGGAATTATGGTTTTATTTTTGGGGGTTTTGGGAGCGTTGAAAAAGTCTTGGCGGCGAGCGGAATACTTGTAAGGAAGTTAAGGGCTAAAAGCAATTTTCCAAAAAAAAAAAATACCATACAGGACCTCAAGTTTAGTGAAAACATTGCCCACGGTATATTTGGGAGTTTACGAGGAGAAAGAAAGAAAACATAGACAGAAAAAAGGAAGGCAGAGGAGAAGTGGGGGAAATATATAATATGTGTTTGAAAGTTAAGTAAAAAAATGGTGGTGAACTTAAATTAACTTGTTTGGAAAGTATAGTTAAGGAAAGGAAAGTGATTGAATCTTAACAATTGAACAATTGATATTATGATTAATGGTCAAAATGTTTCTATCATTGAAAAATTTCAGCTCCGTTCTCGTTCCATTCCTTACCAAACTAAAGTCTCTCCGCAATTAACTCTAGAAATTCCTCACTATCAATTTTGTATCAGTGCAAACAATGTCGCTTTCAATGCAAAACAGTTAAAATCAGTTCAAATAATTGAAATATCAGTCCAAAAGAAAACACTGTATTACTGCTAAAAAGGCAAGATCTTTTCACCGCCAAATTTAAAAATGGATGTGGGACTTGGGAGCATGCCGTTCCTGCTACAAAAGCTTTCATGTGGATTGCGTTAATTATATTTTTAAGCTTTTAATTTTGGGTTCAATAATGTTGTCAGCAAGCTAATAATACAAGAAGCTAATTACCATTCCATTAAACGAAAAGCTATAGACGTAGATCACGTCATTTCATGTGGATTCCAGTTCGCAATTTTCTTCGCCGCCGATGATGAACGCCGGGAAAGCTTCGTCGCCGATGTCGATGCCGTTGGAAAATTTTGGAGGGAATTAGAACCCCCCCCCCACCCCCCCACAAAAAAAAACCAATTTCAAATCATCACAGTAATATCATGAAGAGAGAGAGAGAGAGAGAGAGAGAGAGAGAGAGAGAGAGAGAAAGAGAGAGAGTATTATGATCTTCACATGTTTTAAACTCTTGGATTTTGTGTTTTGAGGGCTCAGGGAATTATGGTTTTATTTTTGGGGGTTTTGGGAGCGTTGAAAAAGTCTTGGCGGCGGGCGGAATGCTTGTAAGGAAGTTGGGGGCTAAAAGCAATTTTCCAAAAAAAAATTACCATACAAGACCTCAAGTTTAGTGAAAACATTGTCCACGGTATATTTGGGAGTTTACGAGGAGAAAGAAAGAAAACATAGACAGAAAAAGGGAAGGCAGAAGAGAAGTGGGGGAAATATATAATATGTGTTTGAAAGTTTAGTTAAAAAAAATGGTGGTGAACTTAAATTAATTTGTTTGGAAAGTTTAGTTAAGGAAAGGAAAGTGATTGAATCTTAACAATTGAACAATTTTCATTATGATTAATGGTCAAAATGTTTCTATCATTGAGAAATTTCAGCTCCGTTCTCGTTCCATTCCTTACCAAACGAAAGTCTCTCCGCAATTAACTCTAGAAATTCCTCACTATCAATTTTGTATCAGTGCAAACAATGTCGCTTTCAATGCAAAACAGTTAAAATCAGTTCAAATAATTGAAATATCAGTCCAAAAGAAAACACTGTATTACTGCTAAAAAGGCAAGATCTTTTCACCGCCAAATTTAAAAATGGATGTGGGACTTGGGAGCATGCCGTTCCTGCTACAAAAGCTTTCATGTGGATTGCGTTAATTATATTTTTAAGCTTTTAATTTTGGGTTCAATAATGTTGTCAGCAAGCTAATAATACAAGAAGCTAATTACCATTCCATTAAACGAAAAGCTATAGACGTAGATCACGTCATTTCATGTGGATTCCAGTTCGCAATTTTCTTCGCCGCCGATGATGAACGCCGGGAAAGCTTCGTCGCCGATGTCGATGCCGTTGGAAAATTTTGGAGGGAACTAGAATCCCCCCCCCCCCCCCCCCAAAAAAAAACCAATTTCAAATCATCACAGTAATATCATGAAGAGAGAGAGAGAGAGAGAGAGAG